TGCGGTTTCTAAGGTGTTCTGTGGTTTATTGCATTGTTCTACATTGAAAACATATTTGCCTACTTAAAATATAGGCTACAACAACATTTAATAATATATTTTATTTGTAACGCACTTTACATCAATTTAATGACCCCAAAGTGCTACACATAAAAACAGGAACATTAAAAAAGATAAAATAAATGAAATAAAAGCACCGTTAGCCAAAAAGAGTCCACAGTCTGATTTTTCCAACAAACTTAAGTAAATCCAACTTGCCAACATTTGTTGTACTTAAATATATGAGTTCACTTAACATTCTTTACTTAAAAAATATTGAACACAATAGAATCTTCTAACTAATTACAAGTTGTGTAAACTTAACATTTAAGGTCATAGGTCAAATTGACCAATTTACCAAAAGACCATTTTGCAAGATGTAAACAACACTGGTCCAGAAACACTTCCTGTTTCAGTTTGTTTCACATGTAAAGAAAACATCTTAAAGATGTTTGTTTAACTTTTTGATTCAGTTTTATATGTTCTGTTGGTTGTATTTTATTCCAGCTTTTATGTAGTGTTAAAAAACTGAAACAGGAAGTGCTTCTGGACCAGTGTTGTTTACATCTTGCAAAATGGTCTATAAACAGTATTTTAAATGCTTTGTGTATGTGTGTGCGTGTGCACAATATAAAACCTTTTTTATTTTGGGTCTGTGCACCTGCCAGTATAAATTAAATTCCAAATTAGATTGGAAAAGACATTTCATACACACAGTCTACAACACCTCAGAATGTCAAAACTTTGCAGGCATGCTCATATGAAAAACAGGCAAACAATTTCAAGAAAAACATCCTAGGTTAACCAGTATTTTCAACTCAAAAATGTGCTGTGCATGGGTAAAATCGCACATCCATTAAAAAAGGCCTGCATTTAAGATTTATTTATTTTAATTGCATTTAAAATTTCCGTTCATTTGAATTAGGTTTAACATAAACAAACTAATAAACTTAATGTGATGCATGTTTGTCAGTCATACATAAATTAAGATATTTATTGAACTAAGTGCATAATCCTATTTGCTTAGGATCTGTTTTATCACCATCAAGGCAGTATTGTAGTTTTAATCAGCGTGATAATGCACCTCTCCTCAACAAATCACATGATTTGAGAGCTTATTCATGTCTGTAGTCGCACAATCAGGACTGATTTGTGTCACACCTGATCTGAGACTGAAGTGGCGTCTGGTTTCTGAAAGAGAGATTGAGTGACCTTATTACAAACCTCTCTCTCTCTCTCTCTCTCTCTCTCTCTCTCTCTCTCAAGAGATAAAGCTCCTGCCTGCAGGACATCCTCTGCCTCACAATGACGCACTCAAAGGGTGCAGATATTTATATCAGGGTTGTGTACATTAGATCCTCAGTCACTTCAGAACCGCAGATGACTCACACGGCTCCCTTAATATCGGACTGCTCTGAATGCATGGGCTTTTCACAGTCAAACAAGTAGTTTTACTTCTCCACAAGCTGTTCGGATTGATTTTGGAGGAAAACATTTAACGCTGACAAATGCATGTAGAACACACAAAGGTCAGCGCTGACGTTTCCATCAGGCGCATGACAGATGCATTTGATGAACTTCAGCGCCTGTCACTCAAACCTCAGGTGGGCAATTAAGGCCTTTCTTCTAATTTGATCTAAACAACAAAACATGGCAATGACATTCAGCATGAAATGCGTGAACTTGACAGTTTGTCTTTCTATTCATTTCAGAACTGAAGAGCTTCTCAGGCAGGAGATGAAGAAGGCAATGTGTTGGAGGCAGGTCTCTTTATAAAGAACCAGCAACCAGTGAGAACAAGACTGAGGCCTGCTTACCAAATCTTAATAAATGCAAACAAGCGATTATGTAAAGCAGAAATCTTCCTTCATATATGTACAGATTTCATTTAAGGAGGGACGTCCGGGCGAGAGACAGAGACTGAGACAACAGGCCTCTGTGGAGAGAGAGTCACGTGACGCTGATGCTCCAGCAGTGCACCGGCATGCAAAACAGGCTTGAACACATTGATAAAAGATTTGTTTTATGTTTATTAATAAGGGTATTTACATAATATTTTTCCTGGCGAAGAGCCTACGTGCTCGAAACATTACCACCTGTGTGTGAGTCAATTCAATTTTAAAGGTGTGCCGACTTTTTCCCCTTTTTTATACATAATATTTTTCCTGTAATAATAATACTTATTATTATTGTTATAAAGGTGGCACATAATAATAATTAATAGTATATTAATAATAGATAGATATTATATTACAAAAATTACATACTATCATATTAATAAAATATTATATTAATAATAGTATGATTCCAAATAATATCATAAATATATATTACTATTTAATTTATATATATATATATATATATATATATATGAAGAGTTCAGATGCAAAAGCCTCTAAATGCCATTTGAAATTTTCTTCTTTAATGATGATTTTTATCAAACTTGTATATTTAAGTTCAGTAATTTTACTTAAATAACAATTAATAGGTAATTATCATTGCCATTTAAGTGAAAGTACTGAACTTAAATATACAAGTTTGATAAAAATCATCATTAAAGAAGAAAATTTCAAATGGCACTTAGAGGCTTTTGCATCTGAACTCTTCATATATATATATATGATAAATAAAGTTCATTACATATAATGAACTATATTTTAAAAATAATCATAATAATAATTTTTATTATATTGTTGTTCAAAAAAATAATGCTCTCAACAACAATAATTATAATAATAAAAATAATGGAAAGAGTGTGTACATTAATAATTATATTTTTGTAATAACTTTATATTTTTATAGTAATTATTTTTTATTATTTATATTAATAAAGGTGGCAGATAATAACTATATATATATATAAATAGTTCTATAATATGCAATTATATTATAATTGTTATATTACTCTCTAAATTAATCATTATTTAATTAATAATTATATAATATATAAATATTATGTAATAATAATTATTATAATTTTTTGTGATCATTTATATATTTCAATGTAATTATAATTTATTACTATTAGTATTATTTATATACGTTTATAAATGCACAATTAGTTACCTCACAATGTAATGTCATATTATTAAATTACTATTAAATAATTATTGTGCATAAATATGGGCTTACTGGGCAGACACTTGCAGCAGGATTCCGCGTTCAAGCACATATTTTATAAGACAGTGTTTCCAAAAAAAAAACATGTCGACCTGGATAAAGTGAGGAGACAGCAACTTAAACTAGGACAAAAAGTGTGCGCTGTAAGATGCGAGAAAGCATAATGAGAAGAAAGGGAGGTGTAACACAAAGGAGAGGTGAGATTACTCTGTATTTGGGCTTCCAGAAGGTTGCCAAAAACGGTTTCTTTCCATTCTTGTGAATGCGAGGAAACGTCAGTGTTATTTTACTAGATTACATTTCCTGCAATGTTCTTTTTAGGCTGAGGTTTAACACCTTGAATGCAGTGTAAGACGCTTTGGATAAAACCATCTGCCAAATGCATAAATGCAAATTTACTTCTTTACCCCGACTGTTACACTATAATAGATCATAAAAGAAAAAAACAATCACAATGCAGTATAAACATCACAATGATGTCACTGTGGTCGGTTAGGTTTTGAATAGCGAACATTCTAAACAATGAATGTCAATGGGAAATGTTGAGGCACCATGATGATATTTGTTGTGCTGCCCTTAATTTAACTGTAGTAATAAACATGATTTATCATTATTGTATTGAGAATCTAATGAATTTTTTTTTTTTATAAAAGCTATAGACAAATTGTAAGTCACCAATTCTTGTTTTTATGCAATATTGTAGTGTTTTAATCTGTGCACATAATTATTTTTTTAAAGGGATACTTTAGGATTTAGCATTAAGCTTTGCATTAGTAGAAAACCTGAAGTATCTTCTAATTGCCGTGCTTTCCACCCCCATATCCCCCTGAGACGAGAGATTTATGTATTTTTTTTGTTTGGAAAAAATCCTCAGATGACACAAAAATCGTCATTTTGCGTCATCGGAGGATTTTTTGGCCAGAGGCTAAAGACTACAGTCAGTAGTAGGTAGGCGTGGCATCTTAGGGCAGTGAAGCAAGTGCATTCTGGGAGTTGTTGTCTTTCATCCACATTCGCCAAATATACATTTTCTGGCTTTTCTCAGTCTAAAAAGCTCCAAATTCAAAAATAATTTTACATTTCTTCTACATAAATGACCAATTTTAAAATACAAATTAATCTTTCCAGAGGTGAACAGTCCCTTTAAATTCATGTGCCTCATAATCTTTAAATAACTTCCTTCCCTTTGATGATGTGTTTACTGGTGATGAGGGCGGGGCAACCTGTCACTCACATCAGATCCACCAATAGCAAACCACAACCATCCAATCAATTCTGTACAAAATCAAGCCCCGCCCACATTTGTTCCTGTACGAGAGGCAGTTTCATTCGTATACACATCACAATAGGGAAAAAATACAATCATTTCTGTTTCAGCAGCTATAAAAAAAAATCAAAAACTAATAAAAGTTTTGAAAATTTCAAATAAAACCATAAAATCTCAAATTTATTTATTTATTTACTTGTTTTAACGATAGCCCCTTGAGATGAACCATCTCATTTTCGAGGGGGTCCCTTCTTTACAACAAACAAGATCATAATAGAAATTCATAAATAAAGTAAATACAACACAGGACTATTACAAACATTTAGATCATTTTTAAAACTAATTCAAAATACTTGATCTGAATATCTCAATGGTACAAAAAAGAAAACACTGTACACTTTACAGGAATGAGAACTTGGGAGAAAAATGTGCCTAAATGTCACAGAATGCAAAAAAAGATCTAAAAATAGGTTTGATGTTCTGCATTAAATTGTGGGTGAAAACAAAGCCTGGGCGCTCGAGGGGTCCTGTGATCATGTGAACGCAGGCCATTGGACGAGCACATCTCGCATCCCTAAAGGACCCTGGATGCTCCGAGACACAGACGCCGTTCTTCCAGCATCCAGGAGCGCGAGCGCAATGAAGTAGGTCATTCACGCGCAGATACACCCCCCTCCCCTCCATCTCTCTCTCTCACACACACACTGTACATCATCACTGATGACTGAACACACACACAAGCTCCTCTCTCCTCGTGCTCCAGCACAGCCTTCACAAAGGAAACACTGAACAGGACTGTGTTTTTTCCACACGAGCTGAGGATGTAGAGCAGAGCCCAGTGTGTGTGTGACAGAGCTCTGAGCCAGACGTCCTTCAGGAACGCTGAGGAAACTCATTCTTTGTGATTGAAGATCATGCTTTTCTGGGGGGGAATGGACGGGTAGACGCGGCGTTTGGATGCAGGAACATGAGGGAGAGAGAGAGGGCACCAGCAGCAGGTGAGTCCTGGACATCTCCTTCATCGGGTCAGCGCTGTGTGTGTGACGTGTGTATTGATTTCTTTTGTCTGAAGACCGCCGAGGGCTCTTGATGCTCGCAACTGTTTGTTTTGCACTGTTGGTGGCACGCATGCATTCACGCATTTCTGTTGATGTTTACAGATATTAAAGGCGTTTTGGTTAACATTTATAAAGCATGTGAAGTTCTGAATAAGGTAAAAAAAAATGAAACAAAGCGGTAGTAAAAACGCTAAAATAAATAAATGAATGATTCATAAAAAAGGAATAGAATTTTTGATTTATTGTGTGCAATGCTGATGCATTTAGCATTTAGTTTGCATATTTGTAAGTATAAGCAAGAATGTTGTGTATATAAAGAATGTGACCTGAGGGGTCAAAGGTCACCTTCAGGTGTTGACCTTAGGATAAAATTTTAGGGAACAGATTGTCCCATTTATTAAGTGGGGCAATTATGATTTACACTAGTAATGTGCATTCAAGACACTGCAAAAAGTGCAAAGTTATACACTCATATAACGCATATTTGGGTCAAATATGGACAAACCCAGCCTTTGGGTTAAAATTTTTAAATTACATTTTTTAACCACACGTTTGGGTTTGTCCATATTTGACCCAAAATTGGGCAACCCAGCATTTTTTAGAGTGTATATCAGTAAATTAAATCTTTCTTATTATTTGTGAAATTTACTTGCAATGTCTGAGTGAAATGTGTTTCAAAATAAATCCTACGTCCAATTTCCTTCAGTGCGCATCAGAGAAAGTCATTCACAATATATATGGGCTATTTCTTGCTATATAAAAATGACTTCAAAGTCTTCAAAATGGAGCTAATTAACATCAAGCAGTTTTATAAGAATGGAAAGTGTCTGTTCCAGCTCATTTTGTGTGGTGTTCGGTAGGATTAAAGAGCATTTCTTCCAATTTTCATTCTGAAAAATCATTTTCCTCTCATTCCAGTTTAATATCCAGTGTGTTGTGGTCAATTCGATTGAAATTGGGAAGGGAAATTAGATTCTCTTTGCTCAAGGGTTAATAACAGGTATCTAGCCGAGGTAGACAATGACCTCTAGAGAGAATGAGAATGTTCCTGAATTGATTTCTCATTAGTTTCTCAGTTAGGGGCTAAAGTGTCCAGGATAGCAGGGGTTCGGCACATCTCAACTTCTGAGAGGTCATCTTAAGGTCGTCTGCTGGTGTTGTGTGGCAGTGATGCTCAGCGGAGGGTCTTGCGCTGTCACTACGCATGATGCTGAAAACATGAGGACTCGTTCTAGGTCACTGCTTTATTCCCGTGAGCTCTGCGAGACGTCAGGCCCGTGATTCAGTTAGTGCCCTTTGCTGCTGTTAAAATATTAAAAAAAAAGATTGGACTGCTTCGTCGGAGAGCGTCAAATCGGGTGCATAAGTGCTGACAAGACGAGGGAAATAAGGACACGGGCGTTAGAGAGAGGAGAATAAACAGAGGAAAAGACGTCATAATGGAGGTCTATAACACCAGGGGGCTGGAATCACAAAACATGATGTTGACCACCACTATGATATATTAATCTTTAGCACATGATACTGGTAGTTTGCCACTCAGAGTCAAAGCATCAGCACAAGCGAGCAGGGCCGAAAGTGGTGACGAACACACACACATTTGAACCGAGGGGGCGACTGTGAATGCAACGGACCAAAATTAATAACTATTTAAAATACATGGCACATTGGAAAACATGACTCCAAAAATAGTGTGCATGCTTATTATTGTTAAGGTAATTTGCATATGACACAGAAAAGAGGGTTTTGATCTGCAAATCTTCAACAAGAATCGCCATACAATCAGATAACATCAAAGTCTGTTATTTTCTTCCCATGCAAGAAAACTTGATTTTAAGGCATCAAATTATATTTATGGAATAGTTATGATCCACCTGTTAATCACTTTATGAGCATAGACCCTATGGCATAGACCTGAAAATTAAATTTCCAACTTGAACTTTGGTAGATCTTGAAAGCTTCGTAGCACAAATTTAAGTTTGGTTTGACGCTTGGCAGATTATTGCTGAAGTGAAAAAGGTGGAACTAAAGCTTATTATTTTGAAAGATGCATAAAAATACCATTTTAAAATTTTATATGAAATATAGATTTTCCAAAACATGTTTTACTCTAAAAATCAATGCCATAAATCTACACAAGTTGTGTTCCAAAATTTGAGGTTTAGCTTTCAGTAAGATTCAGTTTTAGAGGATGTCCAGATGAAATTCGTCTCCCATTCATTTCCAATGCGCTCATTTTTCACCACCATTTATTTGAGGACCATTTAACCTTTTCAAATCATGTCCATGATTTTTTGTAGTGTCAAAACCTTTACCAAGTTGCTCATCATTCCGATAAAGTAAAAAAAAAAAAAGATCTACAAAACCAAAGCGTAAAATTTTTCTTTAAAAAATGCCCAAACAAAATCAGACGGTTAAGAACATCTTAAGAAATGTTTTAACTTCTCTCAAGAATTTTGTGCATTGCAAAGAAAACATTTTCTCACTCATTTTCCACTATACATTCCTAAAATCAAGATATGAAGAGTTCAGATGCAAAAGCCTCTAAATGCCATTTGAAATTTTCTTCTAAAATGACCATTTTTATCAAGCTTGTATATTTAAATTCAGTAATTTCACTTAAATGGATGTCATTTAAGTGAAATTACTGAACTTAAATGTACAAGCTTGATAAAAATGATCATTTTAGAAGAAAATTTCAAATGGCACTTAGAGGCTTTTGCATCTGAACTCTTCATATATTTACTTGAGAAGCAAAACTACTTAAGATATAAAGGCCTGGTTTTACAAACAGAGCTTAGATTAAGCCAGGATTAGGCTTTAGTTCAATAAGGACATTTAAGAAGCTTTTATAAACGTGCCTTAGGAAAAAAAAAAACACTACTTGTGTGCATCTTTAGACAAAACAATGGCTCTGAGTGACATCTTATAAGTTATTTCAGTGCAAGTTGCTTTCAGTTAAAACATGCATTTTAGTCTGGGACTTGGTTTAAACCTTGTTTGTGAAACTGGGGGTTATTATCTGAAATCATTTTGCTACTTGATTTAGGAACTTTGAGATTTTTTTTAATGAAAAACGAGACAAAATGACTGAGCAAGAAAACATTTTAGCTGTGTGAATCTGGCTCTTGAAATAAGTTTGTCAATGCATGCGAGTTAATGCATGTGTGTTTGTCAGTGCCCAGGTGGGTGTTCTGGCAGCGGGACGGGGCTGTGAGACGAGCGGGGCTCCGGTCGAGGACATGCAGGCGCTGTCCATCGCGTCTCTCTCCGCCTCAGAGGTGGAACAGCAGTATGAGCTGATCGCTGCTTTGGGGAAGGGCACCTACGGCAAAGTCGACTTGTGTGTGCATCGAACACAGGGTGAGTCTGTAGGGAAATGAGGCCGTACCATTCCCAATTTTCGATTCTTTTCTTTTCTTGTGGAACCAAAACAAAATGTTTTCCAGAATCTCTTGACTGCTCCGTCAAGCTCCAAAAATGCACCTCTATATTGAAATATAGAGGTCTTGGGGCACTGTGATATTTCATTGATCGCTGTTGTGTGTGTTGGCAGGAACCAAACTGGCTCTGAAGTACGTGAGTAAGAACAAGACGAAGCTGCGTAGTTTCCTGCGCGAGTACAGTCTGACGGCGGCTCTGGGCTGCAGTCCGTTTATCATCAAAGTCCTGAACGTCCTGTTTGAGACGGAGGACAGCTACGTGTTCGGCCAGGAGTACGCGCCCGCGGGAGACCTGTTCGACATCATCCCGCCTCAGGTAAGCCATCACTGCGCCTTACAGGGGAAACTCGGAAAATTAGAATAGTTTAGAATGGATTTCAGTAATTCAAATTAAAAGGTGAAACTAATATATTTATATGCATGATCATACTTTTCAGAGGGCCGACATTTCTGTATTTAAAATCCTTTTTAAAATTGATTTCATGTAATGTTCTATTTTTTTTTTTTTTTTTGAGATTCTGAATTTGGGGATTTCATAAGCTATAAGCCATAATCATCAATATTATAACTTCTGCACAATATTCTAATGTTTCGAGTTTCACCTGTGTAACACCTGTGTCAGTATTTCATATGTTAGAATCCTGAATGCACACGCAGCTGGTCACATGGTTGGGTCATATGTCAACCCAAAATAATGATGTTGAAGATTCAGCTTTGATCACAGGAATAAGTGACATTTCACAAAATACTGCAATAGAAAACAGCTACTTTAAACTGGAATAATATTTTACAATTTGACTGTATTTTTGATCAGTCTTGGTAAGCAGAAAAAACTTCTTTCAAAAACATTTTAAAAATCGATACCGAACCCAAATTTTTTAACCATAAATTTTATTCATATACTTGTTTGTTTGTTAGTAAACTAAGACCTGGACATGTTCTTTGTGATTTTTTTTTTTGTCTGGATGATATGAACAGTACAGAAACACTAAAAAAAAATGTTGGGTTAAAATTTTTAACCCAATGTTTGAGTTTGTCCATATTTGACCCAAAATTGGGTTAAAAGAACCCAGCAGAGTGCAACTATCTGTATGTATCCATTATATAGACTCACACAGAATCTTTATTTTATCATATTTTCTGTGCTATTTTTGTAGGGAAAATATGGCCAAAAAAATTTGCACAGGGAATTTGTATAACTTTATGATTGATAGGTAGCCTATGTTAATTGTGCATACATCTGTGGAGTTCTACAGGATGTGTGATCCTGCTTTTGATTATAGAAATCACTTCTACTTCCTCCTCTCCTCTCTATACCTCATTCTTGTGTCCCCATGTGTTTTCAGGCCGGCCTGCCGGAGGAGATGGTCAAACGCTGTGTTCAGCAACTGGGTTTGGCTCTGGATTTCATGCACAGCAAGAGTCTCGTCCATCGCGACGTGAAGCCAGAAAACGTTCTGCTTTTCGACCGCGAGTGCCGGCGTGTGAAATTGGCAGATTTGGGAATGACGCGGCGGGCGGGCAGCCGGATCAAGCGGATCAGCGGCACCATCCCATACACTGCTGCCGAGGTGTGCCAGGCCTCGGTTTCGGATGGCATCGTCGTGGCGACGACCCAGGACGTGTGGGCTTTCGGAGTTCTGCTCTTCTGCATGCTCACGGGAAACTTCCCATGGGAAGCGGCGTTGCCTAGCGACGCATTCTTTTCCGAATTTCAGCGCTGGCAGCGGGGGGCGTGTCCTCCAGGAGCCGTTCCCTCCCAGTGGAGGCGTTTCTCTGACGATGCGTTACGCATGTTCGGCCGGCTGTTGGCGTTGGAGCCGGAGCGACGCTGTGGCGTTAAAGAGGTGTTTTACTTCCTTAAATACGACCTGCTGAATCATCATCGCCGCAGAGCGTCCTGTAGGGCCCCGAGGGGAGGAGCCTCACGTTGCTCCGCCCACAGACACACAGAGCCCTCCCCCCCTTCAGGCACTTCCTGTCTACGCCCCACCCCCCTCAAACGTAGCATCCTGTCCGAACCGCATTCCTCAAGGGAAGAGTCCTCCAAAAGCCCGTCGCCCAACCGCCAAGACAAGAGCAAAGTGATGATGACCACTCCTATTGAGATTTGTGTATGAAGACCAAACTGGGTCTCTAAGTGTACGGGTTTCACTGGACGGCCGCGAAACTTGTAGCAATATTACTTCAGGAGAACTACTGGAAAAACGTTTGCACAAGAATGACAAGAACGCCGTAGGTTATTAAGAACTGGCAAAACTATTACTCTGTGACTGTGAAACCTCACTAATTTATAGGGAAAGTAGGACCTACTTTGGTAGGTCACTTCAGCTCTAGAAATGATTTTGTTTTGCAAGGAAAAACATACTGAATTTAACATATTTGCTTTTAATTTAAAAGAATAGTTCACTCAAAAAACAACATGTCTTTCTTTCTTATGGAGTCCCTAGAGGACATGGTGAGAGAAAAATATGAGATGGGAAGGAAAAAATGTGTCAAAACTTTTCCCTTCCCCATAAAAACTTTGCGTTTGCTCGCAAAACTCTTGCGTTCCCCTGAGAAACTTTGTTCACTTGCAAAGAACTCAAAAGTTGTGCGAGTGAATGCAACGTTTCTCAGGGGAACACAAAACATTTGGGTGTGAATGCAAAAGCACCGAAATATGCATTTTCCTCAAATCTCATAATATTCGCCCCATCGCTTTGTCCCTTTAGGGGCTCCGTACGTTCTTCCATTGAACATGAATGGAGAAATACTGCACAATGCTCCATAATGGGTGCTTTAGATGTCAAGATCCTGAAATCACATCAAAGTACCACAGTCTGAGTCCTCTAAAGCCATATAATAGATTTATGTGAGTCATTCTTAACCAAAAATTGTATTGATAGTATTTTTGCTTCAAAGATTGTCCATTTACTGTCAGAAAGAATGTGAGAAATCACACATTATCTATATCATACATCTAGCCCTAAAACGTGTTAATTAGTGCATATTATTTGTGTAAGCTACTAATATAGACCTTTCTGGAGTAGATAAGGTACAGAGTTGTTGCATTGAGCCCAAGGACAAGCTGATGTGCTACTACTAATAGTAAGATTTATGCACACATTTTGCACAAATTTGATCCATCTTGATATTGAATGGTATTTGAGAGATATGCATTTTCAATTCACATTTTGGTCCAGCGCAGTCTCACCCCAAAAAGTCATATAACTGACGTTTTGGGACGTCTTTTGACCATACGTCAATATTCGCCTTTTTAGGGCCCCCTTAAACGTCGGTAGATGAGGTTATGGGATCCTAACTCTACCCCAGACCTAAACCTAACCCGTCACCTAATTGACGTTAAAGGTAAAGCGTCAGTTGTATGACGGCCCGGGATCGCCATCTAGCGACGTTTAAGGGGGCCCTAAAAAGGCGAATATTGACGTATGGTCAAAAGACGTCCCAAAAAGTCAGTTATATAACTTTTTGGGATGAGAATGTGTTGTTTGGTCTGTTTCTCACCCAAAGCTGATGAACGTGTGGCTTTACAAGACTTGTAGACTTCTTTTGTAGTGCTATTTTAGTATCATTGATATACTATAACAGCCCATTCTCACCCCCAAGGCGTCACTTAACTGACTTAACTGAAAGCATTTGGACATGCTTCAATATCTGACGCTTTAGGCGCCCTTTAGCGTCAGTTAGATGACGCCTTAGGATCGCGTGTACCCTACCCCCACCCCACACCTAAACCTAACCGCGTCCTCTAACTGACGCTTTCCTTTAGCGGCTGCGTCAGTTAGATGACGCCGTAGGATCGCGTCATGTAAGTGACACTAAAGGGCGCCTAAAACGTCAAATATTGAAGCATGGTCAAAGGTGACGCCTTGGGGTGAGAATGCGTTGACTATAATAGATAGTCATATTTTTTTTTTTAGGTGAGGTTTTAATAATTCTCATTGGTATTTTAAACATCTATAGCTTTAGTTACTTTAGTACTTTACTACTATAATGAAAATGAGAAATGTTGAGAAATGCAACACCAGGGTGAGTAAATTATGTCTTAGTTTTTATTTTATGGTGAACTATCCTTTTAACTTTTCAATAGTGCACTGAAACTCGAAACTCGTACACTGATGGTGTGATCATACGGATATATCTTTTCTTTACGGAGGCTCATCATCATGTGACTTTTAAACCAGCCTACGACAGAATCATACATGTGCACCAATAGGAGAAGAAGATATATTTTATACTGGATTTTTTTTTTTAGTTTTTCGAGAAAACCGGAAGATCCAGGATAACCTGTAAACTGCCAAGATGAACTTCCACAGAGACACAGGACTTTTAAACAGACTTGAAGAGTATCCATAGACCACAGGGATTTTATTGTGTATCTTTGTATTTGAAGTGTGCATTCAAACACCCTTCTATGAGATTTCTGAAGAAAAGCATCAGGAGTGGCGATCTTAACGACCCTTAATAAAGGGTCATTTAGGTAAGCAAAGCCTCACAGGATTATTCAAGACCACGAGAGCATCTGCTCCCTAGAACATTGTGACTGTGTTTCGTCAGGTAGTGCTAATTTGTAGCTTCTTTTGTATCAGAGAACAAACGATCATTCGACAGAGACTCTTTTTAGTCTTAAATTAAAGTGTATGTTTACATAGGATGCATTAGATAGTTATTTAGGTGGTATAGAGCAGTTAATGTTAATGTTTGAGGTATGTCGCCAAATTCTCATCAAGAACAGACGAAAAGAATATGTTCTCTTTTGTGGTTAGTATGAGATAATAGCAATCATAAAGCACTAAACAGTTTAATGATAATGGATTTTGCTCCTTTTATAGGACTGTTTCATGGTTAAAAAGGTTGCTCAAATGACCTTGGAATATCAACCTACAATAGTTGGTGTTTTTTTTTTTTTTTTTTTAATAGTACATTTATAAAACTTGATGTTATTTAGCTGTTGTAAGAATCGTCATACAGTCGTAGATTGTTCTGAATGATACACAGCTAATTAAACAGATTAAATGCACATTGATTTGCACCTATTGCCTTTTGTGTGTCACAGTTTAAAACTACTACGACAGTACACAAACAGAAATTAATGTGATACTACAACTTAAATAAATGTATCATGCATGGTTGCAAGTTCAAATTTTGATTTATTGATTTTATTCAACCTTAAAAGTTCTCATTACAGACATCATTCACTCTTCTTTTTCCGCTGGAATCGTTCCTCCTTTTAAAACATCTGCTGAAACCTGATTCAGATCCAAACAACCATAATAATTTCCATCCTATTTCAAATCTTCCATTCATCCACAAAATCCTTGAAAAAATAGTTGCTGCTCAATTCCATACTCATTTTTCCTATAATCTATACGAAAAAAATTCCAGTCTGGTTTTCCGTCCTCAGAAACAGCCACTAATGACCTTCTCCTGGCTGCTGACTCTGATTTACTATCCATTCTCCTTCTGCTTAATTTGATTAATTTCACACACCATCCTTCTAGACAGACCCTCCTCTATTGGTTTTACTAACACACATCTTAACTGGTTTTATTCATATCTCAGGCCGCACTCAGTTCATTCAGTTAAAATCATTCACTTCTCATTCAGTCCCTGTTTTCACAGGAGTGCCCCAGGGCTCTGTCCTGGGACCCCTGCTGTTCATTATTTATCTTCTCCCCCTTAGTTACATCTTCCGTAAATATCAGATGCACTTCCATTGCTATACAGATGACACCCAGCTCTATCTTTCAACCAGACTCAATTCAGTACTTTCACCATCTTCCCTTACTAATGGAGCCTTCACGTGCTATGGTAATTATGCCAAAAACCGATGAAAATGCACATGAACTCCCCCCTCATGTTGTGTTTTACACTGGGCAGGCAGCTCGTAGAATATTTTGATGCACGAGAAATATATTTCTCCACACTCTCAGAAAAAAAGGTACAAAAGCTGTCACTGGGGCGGTACCTTTTCAAAGGGTACACTTTTGTCCCTAAAGGGTGCATATTGATACCTTAATGGTACATATTAGCTCATATTAGTCCAATTAACTGAAAACACTTAAAAAAAGTTTTTTGGTTAGACCAAAAAAAAGAGGAAGTTTCGACAAATTTGCAAATGTTACAATTAAAAAATGAATCAAATTAAGGGAATTTTTTTATTTGTTTATTTGGCACCCATGCTAAAGTTGCCTAAAAAGAGGAATAAAAAAAATCATCTTTTGGATATTGATCTTAATGCCTTAATTAGAAAAATGAGGAAAACTCCAACCTTTAAGGACACAAATTTTCTTTGTGAATGAATAATGTATCATCAATAAATAAATGTTTTTCCTTAAAATACAGGGTGCATAAGTCAGGGCACCCCTATGTTAAATTCCCATAGAGTCAGGCAGATTTTTATTTTTAAAAGACCTAGAGATTGGCATGGGGTACTTTCCATAAGATCATCTTTCAATGCAAATCAAACCAGCTATTAGGCTAACTGAAGTAAAACCATGCCAATCTCTCGGTGTGGTGGAAGGTGTGTGATGATGTGGGGATATTTTAAGGGAACTTTATCAGGATGCATATTATCCTGGATCCATGAAATAACTGGCTTTTAAAAATAAAAATCTGCCTGACTCTATGGGAATTTAACATAGGGGTGTCCTGACTTATGCACCCTGTATTTTAAGGAAAAACATTTATTTATTTATGATACATTATTCATTCACAAAGAAAATTGGTGTCCTTAAAGGTTGGAGTTTTCCTATTTTTTCTAATTAAGGCATTAAGATCAATATCCAAAAGATGATTTTTTATTCCTCTTTTTAGGCAACTTTAGCATGGGTGCCCAAACTTATTCACACCACTGTATACCCGATTGTTGTTGTTTTTCTGCATTTCTCTCCAGTCTCTTTTCATTTTGGTATTTTTTATTTCAAATAAAATAATTTTCAATAGTTTTCTTGTTCTCCAACATATAAAACACAAGTCTTGTGGCATTTCACGGCAACACTAGTTTATTAGTTAACTAACTACACATTTACTTTATGTGAATCTAACAAAACATTTGCTCACTGTGACACAGAACAATGCTTTCTAATATGATTCACTAGACTACTTGATCTCTCTTCCCACACTGAGTTCAGTCGTACGGCTTCTCTCTAGTGTGAACTCGCTCGTGTGATTTCAGGTGTCCAGACCGAGTGAAACTCTTGTCACAATATGAGCACTTGTAAGGTATGAACTCGTTGATGCCGTTTCAGATCACCAGATCTAGTAAAGCTCTTCCCACAGTCAAAGCACACGATCTCTCACTTCATTGTGTGTTTTCTGGTGCCGTTTAAAACTTTTCAGCCATGAAAAACTCTTTCCACAATGAGTGCATGTATACGGTTTCTCTCCAGTGTGAATTCTCATGTGTTGGTTAAGGGTTGCTTTCTCTGTGAAACTCTCTCCACACTGAGTACAGTCGTGTGGCTTCTCTCCAGTGTGAACTCGCTCGTGTGATTTCAGGTGTCCAGACTGAGTGAAACTCTTGTCACAATATGAGCACTTGTAAGGTTTTTCTCCAGTATGAACTTGTTCATGCCGTTTCAGATGCTCAGATCTAGTAAATATCTTCCCACAGTCAAAGCACATATAATCTCCCATTCCATGATGTGTTTTCTGGTGCAGTTTAAAACTGTTCAGCCATGAAAAACTCTTTCCACAGAGAGAACACACATGCTTCTCATCTGAATGAACTTTCAGGTGTTGTTTTAGATTTGCTGATGAAATAAAATCTTTACCACACTGACCACAGTTAAATTGCTTTTCTCCAGAGTGAATGCGCAGGTGAACACTGAGATTTGATGAATGAGAAAAACTCTTTCCACACTGAGTGCATGTTAACGGTTTCTCTCCAGTGTGAATTCTCATGTGTCTGTTAAGGTTTCCTTTCCATGAGAAACTCTTTCCACACTGAGTGCAGGTGTGCGTCTTTTTGGCTTTTGTTCTTTGAATTGTACAGTTACGATGTTCCTCCTCCACTGCATTCAGTTCTTGTCTTTGCTCTTTAACGCTCATCTGGTCTAAAATACACAGAAAAACATGTTAGAATCAGTTCAAGTGAACCCTTATGTAATAGCAGAAAGCAACAGAGAACAGATCTTTCACTTGTTATTCTGTCATTCACTTGTTCACATAGCTAAATTTGTTTGGTTATGATCGTTTTTCTAATCATTTATCATCCATATACTGCTTATTTAACACAGTCTCATCCCAAAAAAGTCATACAACTGACGTCTTGGGATGAGACCGGGTGGTAACATTCATTCACATCTACCAAAGCATCAACAATGAAGAATCAGGAATGGACACAAACCTATTTGTTCCTCAGTATCTTCGGGGTTTTTTCTGGATGGTTCTGGATCACTCATGTCTTCAATCTCTTCTTTAATAAACTCCATCTTCAACAGTCACACAGATTTCAGCTGCTACTCCTGGAGTTTGTCCTTCTCTTGTAATGGGAATATGCCCAGTTTTTATTGGTGAATTGTTGTGGGAGGGGCTTCACTGCTGCAGGTGTGAACTGTGATCACTGTGTTTTTATCCAATTTGCATTTAAAAAGTACAGGGTACTGCTGAAAAACCTCTTTGTCTCCAACAGTTCCCTGTTTTCAGCTCATTCATTATGGTGATGTCTGAGATCTTCTGTAAATTGGCACATTAAGTTGTTTTATTGGTGTCAACAGGCTGAAACAAACTAGCATCATCACCTTTAACTTCAGTTCTCGTCTTTGCTCTTTCACTTCCATCGAGTTTGAAACATTAAAACATATTATGCTATTAGAATGAGTTCTGGAGGATAAATGTGAATTCAACAAAATTACTCAAATTTAAACTACACTTAAAATTAAAATAGGCCTATATGAAAATATATAAATAAATAAAAGCTTATTCAAAATATTAATATATGCAGCTTTATTTTTATGTCAGTTTTAGTTTTAATCATTTTGGAATTCGATTCTTTTCATCTATTTATTTTTTATATTATCTCATCTTTATTACAATAACAGAAAATACATTTTTTTGAATAGTTTTTTTCAACACTGCAGTGATGTTAAGTACTGTATTATACTATGAATATTTACAGCAACACAGAAAGCTAATGTAAGTTTACAGCTTCATAGAGAGATAATGTAAATAGTTACAGCACTGATTTGAGATCATATAAATAGTTACAGGATTACACTTAAGCAAATGTTTTGCAGTATCAAAAAAGCAAAGTCAATATCAACACCATCAGAGAGGTGAAGTATTTATGCCATAAAGGAGGGTTATGTAAATAAATATTTAAACTGTTGGAGTGAGATGTGAATCTCTACAGCATTTATTCAGTATTTATCCATTCAATTCAATATTCCCTGATCATTATGTCAACCAGCCAATCAACAAAACTAATGAAGACACAATTGTTCAGAGCAATCTGTAGACACAAATACTTTAAACTGGATCAAGAGCAATCACCTGTCAATAGCATTCCCTGACATTTCACCCTGTGCCACTTTATTGCTAATGTCTTGATATGTGCATATATGTTTTTATCACTACAGAAATGCACAGATGATCTTCCTAGGGTGGTTTGTGTGCAATTTTAATCATCTGAGAAGAGTCATACATTAAAGACGCGAGATATGCGGATAACTGACTCTTTTGCTCTCTTTTTGTGGCCTTTTCTCCCCTTTACTTAATTCAGCTTTTTTGCTTTGCATTTTTTGCTGCTTTTCTGAAGGTCATTAAAACTAGGCCTCTCTTTCTCTCTCTCTCTCTCTGATATAAAACACTAATGAGCTGTTTTAGAGAGTAAAAGAATAAATGCACAATTAGACTGAGGGGAACTAGAAAACTAAATGGATGGTAGATGCAACCAGCCTGACAAAGTGAGAGTGTGTGTGTGCGTGTGTGTTTGATGCCGGTAATGCTTGGGAGCTCATTAAGTTGTGGTGATAAGGGGTGGTTAGATTCAGTCACAAGGGAGTTCAAGAGAAAAAAGAATGAAGAAAAAGAGTGAAGTGAATAAAAAAAGGACAGAATGCAGATAAGGCTAGAAGACCTCGTTTCGAATCCTTCAAATATCCCTCAATAATGAAACGCATACAAATGGGGAATAAAGCAGCGGGGGAATTTTTCATCTCTGAGGGTTTTTTTCTAGAAGTAATGGGAACAATTTACCATATATGTTTAAGCTATTTCGTCCTGAGGATGTCCGTTCTAATCCGGAACATCTTTTTCTGCCCTCTAGTTTTGTCTTTATCTACAAAGTACACAACGGCACAGGCTGTAAACAGAGTTACATGCTATAGGGTGAATCTCACACAACCACAGTATCAAACAGAAAGAAGAATTGCATAATGAAAATCTAGCCTAGTAAGATTTATTTTTTTGCATTGAGAATATTTTCTCCTGCACACTTTCTGTGCAATCATTTTTTCAGCTAAAATTAATGGAAGTATAACATATGCAAATCTCATAATTAATGAGAATTATGATGCATTGTGATAATCAGAGTTTTGGTGGGAAAATGTGTTTGGTTAAAATAAAATAAAGACATCACAATGCAACATTGAAAATCTTCTTTACATTTTTTTTTTCATAAAGTCCTAAAATATGTTTCATTTATTTATATTTAACAGTAAGCACTGCTTAAAAAAAGAATAAAAAATAAATAAATAAATTAAAAGATAAAACATACAGATGTACTATTCTTTTTTAAATTTAAGCAAAAAAAGATGCAAATATAAAAACTCAAGAAATTTGTTTTTGCATATAAAATATTTATACTGCAAAATAAATTCAACAGCATTTTTACCAGAAAAACTGTAAACCTGTAGCTGAGAAGTGTGTGTGTGTCCGTCCTGAACAGTGCAGTTCGGCTTTTAATTCCTTATTAAACTGTTGAATTTGAAAGTTGAGTGCTTGTATGAATCAGGTTCATCAAAGTCAAGGGCATATTGTAATTTCTCATTTGGTTCACCTGAGGAAACAATATTGATTGGTTGCAAATTATCTTTTAGTTCTTACACGTAAACACAAACAGACGAACAACCTTTCTGTGACCTTTCTGAAGTTTGAGTTTGACTTCTTTTGGTCTTCATCTCTCCGCTATCTGTGTGGATAATTAACTTTTCAACCCAACACAGACACACACACACACAGATTCATCATGCAGCTTAATCAAAGTAATTAAAACTGCTGATGATTTCTACTCCCGCTAGAGACCTGAACGACAAACACGCACACAAACACACGTCTGACGATAGAAAAATTGTTTGATTTAGCCAAAATAAAGTCAATTGTTGACATATATGAGTACAGTGTTATAAAAATTAATGACAATCTCAACTCAATTTAAAATAGATGAGGTATTTCTGAGCCTGTACTGATTTGAGACCCGTGATTGCAGAATCTTGTTGTGAGACATTGTTGGAATGTAGCATTTGTGAAGCCACAACACACACAACCTTAAGGCGGATGGGCAACAACAGCAGAAGACCCCACCGGGTACCACTCATCTCCACTACAAATAGGAAAAAGAGGCTAGAATTTTCAAGAGCTCCCCAAAATTGGACAGTTGAAGACTGTAAAAATGTGGCCTGATCTGATGAGTCTCGATTTCTGTTGAGACATTCAGATTTGCCGTAAACAGATTGAGAACATGGATCCATCATGCCTTGTTACCACTGTGCAGGCTGGTGGTGGTGGTGTAATGGTGTGGGGGATGTTTTCTTGGCACACTTTAGGCCTCTTAGTGCCAATTGGGCATCGTTTAAATGCCACGGCCTACCTGAGCATTGTTTCTGATCATGTCCATCCCTTTATGGCCACCATGTCCCCATCCTCTGATGGCTACTTCCAGCAGGATAATGCACCATGTCACAAAGCTCGAATCATTTCAAATTGGTTTCTTGAACATGACAATGAGTTCACTGTACTAAAATGGCCCCCACAGTCACCATATATATATATTCTACATCACAGTGCAGTGTTTTAGCACCATGTTTGGTAAACGTTAGCTCAATGCTATAATGCAATAAAGCTGAAATTTAATACTCATTTTATTATGTGCACACATACAGGCGACCACACACACACACAATCAGGGAGTGAGTCTGAGGCATTTCCATGGCAACGACTGCAGACAACTTCCAGTTTTGGTTCACAGATGCATTTAATAATAATCTCACTTTCCCATATCCATTCTTTCTCATTCCCTGGCAGATTTTCTCTCACGGCAGACTGAGCAACACAGCAGGGAGAAATATTTCTGGATGTTTAGTTTTTTGTGAAGGGAGAGAAGAGCTATAACAATTATAAGTGGTCAGACAAAAATGAGACATGAGACAGAATATCACTAAGCAACCAAATAGAACACCCTAGCAACCACAGAGCCTAAAAATCCCGTTCACTTCTAGATAACGGGAATAGTTCCGGCTGGCTGAAGAACGCGTAAGCGTTTGCGCGATAAACGTCTGACGGAGACCCTGACCATTTTCACATTTCTTCTCTCACCATTTCCTCTTATCTCTCCCTCACTTAGCTTCAGCATTGTTATTCTGCATCCTCTAAGACACCGAGGCATGGCTGTAGTTAGTGAGACCCCAAGGGAAGAGAGAGAGAGAGCCTCCTCACACACCGATAAAATCCAATCCAAATAAATCCATTTCATTAATCTGAAATTGTGTACTGTCAAAGACCTTTTACTTCATCTGGAAACTATTTTAAATGGCTCCGTATGTGTGATTTCTTAGTAACGGGGGGATAAAACAACAAAAAGAAGAAGGAAATATAGCTGCGAGCAGCGATGGCGGGCCCAAGCCGGTGGCACCGCAACCCCGGTTCCTTTAGTTACCTAAAGGCACCCGGGTGGCGGTGCCGAAGGCTTTGGCCCTTTCATGATTAAATGTTAAAACGGCTTGCCATACTCTGTCATTTCGACTAGTCAAAATTATGTTACAGATATCTTAAATGATAATACAAACTATCCAAAATGTAATTACGACTAGACAGAAAGACGTTGTTGATATCTACAATGTTAATTCCGGATAGGCAAACTTAGCTTTTAAATGTTAAAAGGGCTTGCCATACAGGGACGTAGGCTCAGAGAGAGGCTCACCATATTCAAACCAAAATATCGGACTTCCTCTTGGTCCGAGCTAATGACTATGTAATAGAAAGTTGTCCGGCTGAGGAGTAAAATGTATATACCGATTTTTGTAACTGTAGATAAAACTAACAACCCCACTTTGTCAAAAGGTGGCGCTATTTAGTCCTTGCACCATGCCCGTTTCTGAAACTTTGCACGTCTACTGGCTAATAAATGTGATGTATCTGTTGAGTTTCAAGCAATTTCAATTTCAATTTGACTGTTGAAAAGAAGTGCGCCGATTAGATACTCAGGATCGGTATCGGCTCTGACACTGCCATCTTTGACGAGGCTGATTCAAATTCTATATGTTGCATATACTATTCTATGTAAGGCACAAAGGC